AGAGTATACGAAGTCTCGGTGGAACCAGCTATTTCTTTTGAACACAGACTTGGAAGCTGATTTACAAACTACAGATGTTCGGCTGAAAATTGATGCGGACGGCATGATAGAGCAAATAAAACAGGATAGGAAAGAGGTAGTACTTCTCATGTTGGGACAGAAATAATTCAGTAAAAGTAGTCTGGGATGAGCGTATGTTTCCCTCACTGTTGAAACATCAAAGTGGTAGTTATCGCACTTTGATTGGGTGAACTTCGACGGCAGAAACAAAATTTTTGAATTCTTCGTTTCATTTTATTACTTATGAGATGTACTGTGTTCCCTTCTTGGTTATCTTTTTTAAGTAGCTATAATTTCCTATAACGGGAAAAGACTATTATTTGTTGCACGAGAAGAAATCCATGACTCGGAATCCGGATTATTCATGCATAATATGAGACTCACATTCTTCCCAGTTTTTAGAGATCGACTTGTTTCTCGAAATTATTCCCTTTTTAATTCACAATCAAAAATCTGGTCGAATGTTAATTGATGAATTGCTTGATCACAAAAAGCTTGTATGAAAAATGTGTAGTTGTTCGTGTCACTGTTCATATATTATTATTTCGAATCTATTCATTACATCTTTACATCTCTTTATTCGGTGAATCACTCAAGTAATTGTACGTGCCATCAAAGTACAAATATTTATATTTAATCTTTTTTGAAACCAGGCTCTGAAATGTTCAAATGCTGCGCGTTCATTTCTCAACTCTATAATTGAAAATTCATATTTAGATTTGACATATTTTGAACCTTATAAAGTCGAGAAATATGTAGCATTCATATTTGCAGATGGATTCTGGTAAATCACCTCTTGCTATGCTTGCAAAGACTTGCGAAACAATTGGTCTTCCTGACACATCGAGTCGGAAATCCAATAAAGATGGTGATAAATCTAGGGATCGTATCAGTCCGAGTAGCAGTATATCGGGTGAAACGAAAAAGGAGGAACCTAGCTCCACGACAAAAAATAAAAAGGAAGGATCTAAAAGTCCCCGTCATATAGCACACAGTCCGTCGGTTGGCAAGAAGACCCCGATAAGTTCCGAGCCATCTACTAGTGCTGCTGCTTCGTTACCTGCAAATTTGATGCTTAGTGCACGAGGCTGTTTTCCCATGAATTTTTCACCTCTCGCGGCAAGCTTCCCGGCCTTTCCTTATCCATCTCTCATGCCTGGATTCCCTACAGTCCCCACTTTTGCTGCTACTGGAGCATTTCCAGGAGGAACATCGAATCCATTTTTACGGTGTCCAGATCCATTAACTTGCAAAGGTCCGTTTTTGAATTCTAAAATGTCGAGGAAATCTGAACTAGAGATGGGCCAGCATTTATTGGGCAGTCAGATTTTTAAATAAGTGGTATTTTATCAATGAACTGTAGTTAAATCGCTCGGTTTGAAATTAAAACAAATTTACTTTTCGTTTATCGTGATTTGTGAATCATTTAAGCTATTTGTAGGATGTCCAGCAACTATGATAACAAGGTCATGCGTAACTCCAGGTTGTACAAGTTGTACGATACATAGCGCTGCTGCCGCAGCTACTGCTAGTACCACACCTGCCGATTTGATGATGACTTTCCCACCATCCTTTTTTGCTGCAGCTTATAGCCCACTTTTAGCCGGAACATTACCACCAACATCAAGGTAAATGTTTCTTCAAAACAAAAGTATGGGTTATGGTTATTATCCAAAAAAGGAAGCAGGGAAAGAATTATAGAATTGGTTTATATTCTTGCAAAAATTTTTTTGAAAACGCAATTTAACAATATATTTAACGTTAACTTTTGCTGATCAACTGATGAAATTTTACTCAAACTTTTTAGGTTTTAATCTCTCAAAAACTTCGAATTAATTTCAGTCTCTTATGAAAAATTAGAAAAATTCACCATTCTTGTAATTTGCAGTTCGGCAGCTCAAATTGCTTATCAAAATCTGATGGCTGCAGCTTCTGGACAAGCAACCAAACACATGTGTAATTGGATCGAGTCACCAAATGGTGTTTGTGGGAAATCGTTTCCAACCGCTGACGAACTTGCTGCGCATATGAAGGTATGTATTCTATCGAATGTGCACTATCTGATGCATTCATCTCGGATTTTCAAAATAAAAGTGGCTTGCGTAAGATTAATAGCATTGAGAAGGCTGATTTTTGGAGTGATGAAGAATGATAACATGAATTCAATGAATTACTAGCAGTGGAACATTCGAAAATTTCAGGCTGCTCATGCTCCATCAACAACAAGTTCAAATAGTAGCAACGATTTAAAAACGAGCAGTTCACCACGTTCAAACACCACAGCGTCGCTAATTAATCATGCTGCAGCGGCTGCTTCTCTTCGTTATCACCCGTACATGAAACCAAGTGGCTTGATGCCAGCTGTACCAAATCCACTTGGAATACCTCCATTTCCGACGATGACAGGTTTTCCTTCAGCAGCTGCATTACAGGCCATGTATACCCAACGTCTTATGGCTACCATGCCCCATCCCTAGAACTCATTTATACCTTTAGCAGGTTCTTTTATGTTGGTCCTGTAACCAATTGAGATAATGATGAACGTCATGACACAGTGTCTTCTTCGCTTGTTAAAGTCTGTGGAAAATATTCTGCACATCAAATTTTCCAATTATCATCCTTCAATCCATAAGGTATCCAAGTCAGATTTGAAAATGATAGGTTTTAACTGTGATATATTTTTTAAACAAATCTTGCAAATTTATGAATATACTCTCGAAAAGTTTCAACCACCCGTACCATTTCAGTGGGGAACCGGCTATTATGTGGTTGGTGGGGAGCGCTTATTGATTAACGATCATCAAGACCATAAGCTGTGTCCATTTCTCAGCAGTTATTTATTGCGGGTATTTATTCAGCAAACTGTGTTAACTAACTCATTTTGTACGGTGTTTCCTTTTTTGGTATGCTTCATTTGCGTGCTTGCGAATTGTATTTGACTTTAGATTCATGGTTCTTGCAAGTTTCAGATCTATCCTTACATTTCGTTGTTTTTTGCTTTATCTTTTTTAGCAGCCTGTATTTCGCATTTTCTAGAATCTTACGGCGAAACTTTTTTTTAAATAAAACTTAATACACAAAGTAAAATATAATGATATAGTTACACTTAGATCTAAAAAAAAAAAAACACATTTGCTGAATACCAGTAAAAGGTATTTTTAAAAGTCGTCCTCTTAATTTTGTATCAGATTAGTTGTTTCTGTTTTTTCTCCCTTACACCTTCAATCTCGTAAGCTGGCAATAGAAAAAATGTGCGAAAAATTCATGTTAATCTTAGAAGTTTTAATAAGCTTTTTACTGTTTCTTTTCACGGTCAAATGAACCAGTGTTTCTTCCTACCATACTTGTTATTAAAAAATTCTGAAAAGAAACATTTTCCTTTTCCTTTGTTTCCTTTCACCAATTTTGAATAGTTATTAAAGCAAACAAAAAAAAAGGGAAAAAAAGGATTATTTTTCTGTTTGTATAAAAAAATTCATTTGCGCACACAATAAAGTTCTATAATGATTTATTTATTTGCTACGCCGTTTTAAGGCTTCATTAAAAGACACTGAAAATTAAATGACCTGTTCATTTTAATTTCTGCGAAAATTTCAGTCTCTAACGTTTATTATCCTCAGGTAGAATTTCTCTTTTATTCTCTATGGAATTTTACAAGGTTGAATTTATCAAAAAAAAAAAAATTCATTACTGAAAAAGCAAATTGCCTCCTCACAAAATCTTTGGAAAGCAGCACAAGAAATGGTTATTTAGGGAATTTCTGAGTCTGATCTATTTCATTTCAAAAGGGATGAAGTTTTCGCTGGTTTAAAACTTGCAGAATTTTTAGATAAAACGAATTTAAAGGGGAGATGATGAGATAACTTTTTTTGGAATAAAACATTTGGGATGAGAGTGGAGAAATATTTGTCTATAGCAGCGGAGAAAGGGAGTAGAGGAAGAAGGGGAAGGGAGGGGGAGGGAGATAGGGTGAAGATACGTTTTCTGAAGCCATTAAAATCAACATTTAATAAATGTTGATGGATGAGATAAAAAATGGCTCATTAATCTTCTTTTCGTACAATAACGATGATCGATTGACGGTTGAAGTGATGCATTGGGACAGTTCGGCGAAGCATAAAGAGTTACCTGATATTCTGTACACAATACTTTCGGCAATTTTTCAAATTTAGCAAACCGGAATTCTTTCCGGTGGTTTGGCGTTGCTCAAAGCGAAACTGGCACTGTATGCCTTCGGGGGTTAGTATAGCTACAATTCACTTGATTAATGATCGTGGTTGCAAATTAAAAATGATGGTGCGTATCTGGAGGATGAAATGGTCAAATATTTTTGGTGGACAGTAAATTGTAATGCTTAATTAGTTGAAGTTATACCAATCATTAATAAAAAAGCCTTAAACAGGGTGGTATAGGTGTTGCGAAATTAAAGTAGATTATTTAGGGTTTTATCAACTTTTTTCGCGTATTGAGTGTTGATCGCTCATCATCTAATATCTTCAAATTATATTGGAATATAATAACGTCGTTTTCCTTCATTACTTTCACAATTTTCATGTATTATAGTGGGTTTACACCGAGAACTCTCAAAATTCTAACGGACACGTGTACAAGAAAATGGGACACTGAAATGAAGTTTTCGATACTATGTCAGACCGTCCATTCGATTTTAAAAAGTTCCAATTTTTCCAAATTTTTTTTAGATTTCTAAATTTAATCTCATGGATGTTTTTTACACTGATTTCAAAAAGTACCGAAACAATTCCAATTGTTTCGGTACTTAAATCTACTATACTTCTCGCTTTCTGAATACAAGGAATAATTTGTAGTATAGCAGATTTAATGATATACAGAGCAAAAATGCCTAAATAATGTGAAATTATCGTCAAGGCATCATTGTACAATTATTGCTATCCGTGGTGGTGGTGGTGTTGTCTTCAAAAATGTCCACAGAGAATTCGAATGCTCGGAATTCACCCAACTCAAATCCTTCAAGCGGAGATTTTTTAATAGAAATTTCCGTCCCTGTCTGTATTAATATTCCTGCATCTAACGAAGAGGAAACAAGAAACTCGGGAAAGGATTCCGAGAACCTTCTTGTGAGAGATGCTAACCCCGTTAAGGAGCAGAAAAATAATGAAGCAGGGCATCGCGACACAGAAGTAAAAACACCATTAAGTGCCTTTTCGTATTATAAAAACTATGATTCGGCTATTTCCATATCGCTTACTTTGCTGATGCTAAGCACTATTTTATTGTTTCGAAAGCTGTTCCTAAAACTCAAGGTGAGAAATCACACAATAAAATCTTTTTTCAGTGCAATGCGATTGCTATGAATGATGCTTCAAAAATTGATATACCACCACGTGGTCGTAGCTTGAAGAAGGAGAATCCAACTACGCGTCGCGATCGTGAAAATTCGCCACCCTTGCTCATGAGAAGTGCAAAAGGTACTGTCGTGCACAAACGATTCATGATATCTCGCCGTAAACCCACTCCACACCCGACCCTATATCGAATCCAACAGGGTTTTGATGAATAAGACTGGGTGACATATAATTACAATAGTTGTAATTGCACTAATTATATATGAAATAGTAATGAATTTGTGCATGATGAAAAAGGAGTTTAATTCCTAGATATATGCATACAAATTATATGTGACATATTGTTTCACTAAAACAAATATTGCAAATAAGCTATTGCGTCACTGTAGCGAATACATTATCTTGAAAAAGAAGCACATCACCACTTCATGATTTTGAAGTAATCATCTGTTCTTAAAATGATCAGAAAAAGACTTAAAACATTGTGAACTCATCAAATCATTGGAAGGTATCAATAAAGACACAAATATCAATTTTCGTTATTCCTTTTGCTCCAATTTTATTTCACCTTATTTTTTTCTGGACATACTGATTGAATTTTAACCGTTACATTCTACAGTTCATTATACAAATAAGATTGAAAAAAAAAAAAACCCAATACTATCCTTCAAAGTGATGACTTGTGATTTCATCAAGTTGTAAAGATTTCGAAATAATAATTAAGAGTAAATAAACACTGTAATGTATTTTCTCAAATGTTTGGCTTCTATCAGAAGGAACGTTTCAGACTTGTTTATGGCTGATGTATTTGTATTTTTTATCCACGAAACTTAATTAAGAATCGGTGTTATAGTGTGTAACTTGCGGTTTTGAAGTTACATGATTAATTAACAACACATCTATTAATCTATCAATGTACTATTTCCCAGTTTTCTCTTCTGAACATGTATTGTAATTTACATACTCTATCTCTTGTATCTTGATTTTCGCGCCATTCAGAGGTTACATGAATCCAGAAGTAGGTTACAGAACAAATCATAGCAAATTATAGCTAAGAATATCCAATGAAAGTGAAGGGAATTTGTTCTTGTATCATAAAAATAAATTAAAATTTAACGAACTACATTTTAAATGTAGTTGAACAAACAAATAAAAACAATAACATTCGATAATATATTTGAGAAAAAAAGTGGTAACTTAAATAAATTTCTAGATTCTAGTTATAATTTGAATATGAGTATTCAGTTAAAAGTATTTATTGGTGTCAAGTAAAATTCTTTTATGAAACCATTTTAAAAACAAGGTACTCTTTGATTTTTCATCACAGCAAGAAAAGGCTGCATTAAACGGCATCTGTCTCTTCACATATAATTCATAAAATGCTCACTTTACTAATTTTTCCACTCCGGCACATTTCTTCTTATCTTTTACTCCCGCTTATATCATCCCAGTTATTGAACTTGCTATTTGCAGCAAAGTGTTCTTATATGATATAAATCAGACAACATTTGGAAATCTGCTGGTGTTTTTATGTCATGTGATGTAATTCATGCATAGAATATTGAAACCATTTTTTAGATAGCAGCTTTTAGACAGATAGCCTATGTGTTTCTAGCAATTTTCATATAAGTAAGTTAAACTTCACATTCATTCAGCTTTGGAGGAAAGGCCGAAATGATTGATTGATGAACAAATAGAAATGATACATAAGATATAACTTCGAAATAATAAAATAAGGCGGTAAATGGGTTAAGGAAAATTAAGGAAGAACTACGGGTAGTATCCAAGTTAGGCGTTTTGGAGGAAAGGCTGAAATGATTGATTGATTGATTGTAAGTTCTGAGGTGATAGTGCTAAGGCACTCATTGATCAATCATTCTTTAGAAGGTGATTCCTATTGTGCGGCCTGCTATCCATCGTGTCTTCAGAAGCAATTTCGTCAAAGTTGAAAGAGAAAAAGGAGAAAATTTGAATGAAGAAGGAGAAGCACTTCCACGGAATTCTTTCAAAATTGTCTCATTTATCTTATTTGAACGAGATGCCTATCAATCTACTATTTCCTAGTCCTCTCTTCTGGATATTTGCCGCTCACTACCCACTGCTTACAACTTCAACAAAACTTATTGACTGGCTATTGGTAGTGTTAAATGGATCACTTTGCAACTGCAACAAGCACATTTCATATACTGACAAAGGAGAAAGAGTTCGATGCTCCCAAGAATGATTGATGCATTAACAAACGGTGCAAACCAACAAATTCATTTCTCCTCTTGCCTTGTTTCTATTTCTGTGCAGTAACTACAATTCTCAAATACTAAATTGCTATTTCTTTGCAAAATCATCCCTTGTTTTCCCTCCAAATTTGATAGTTCTTTGATTGATGGGCTTCAACACCATACATTGCAACTGCCAGATTGACAACAAACACATACAAGATATATTTGTACACTAAATAATTTCTTGCAGGTGCAAACTTGTATGTTAGAGTAACATGTATAATTTTGTTCAAATAAATGCTTTCGTTTCAGCTTCAGAATCGTGTTAATCATATGATATGTTTAGCATGGGGCAGGAAATGGTATCATTAAAAAACCGCTACCTATAGAAGGAAGCTGAGATTTCCAATGTTTTGACATTTAAAGACATGTTTATTGTGTATTGTGAAATTTGGCGAATATTAAAGAATGAAAGTTGAAAGAAACGAATGGAGCGCAGCATCTGTCAATCACGTCGTCACCACTGCTTCGACATACGGTAATATAAAGATGATGTTAACATCATCACCCTTCCTACCATATTCACTGATAGCATTCTTAGAGTGAGGTACACTGTAAGTTTTGACAAACGACCGCTGCTTTGAGCAAGGTGTTCTCTCAGTTTACTAATAATTAATAATAAATAATAATATAGTAATAATAACAGTAATAATAATAATAATGAATAATGACAATAATAATAATAATGAATAATGACAATAATAATAATAATAATGAATAATAACAATAACAATAATAATAATAGTAGTAATAGCTGTGGCACTTTGATGCGCTATAATATATAGATAATTAGTTCTATATATATATATATATAAATAACTAGTTTCTTAAAATGAATGAATGAATGGATCGCTTGCTTTAGATTGATAGCGTTTTGCGTTTGTGTTTACCATTTTTCTTTCATACTGCAAAAGCCAGGTGAAAGATAATGGATATATCAGGGAAACAGATTGCTTTTGTTGCAAAAATCTAATTTATTGTTTTTATAAAACAGGAATACTGCTTTGATAACGGTTGTGTGCAAACAACATCAGTCATAGGGCTTGAACTAAGATTCTCTTTGTAGATTAATAAATGACCAATCAGTCGTATGATTTGATCTGAATCCTCTTTTGCATATGAACCTTCAATTATGAGATTTCACACAACAAAAATGATTATTCAGATTATGGATCGTTTTGGATCATGATAGCCTAGAAAGTGTTGCAGTTTAAAAGTTGTTTTGTAATTTTACTGGACTGTATAAACGTTTTCAGTTCTACTCTCTGAACACGAACGATCACTGTAGTAGTAGTGAAACAACACCTTTAGCCTTATAAACCCTATTGGTCTGTTAATACTAAAAACACTCGCCTTCAGTAATGTCATTCAGTGAACGAATGCCAATAAATGTCATTAAAATAGAACTTCGATCATTGATTAGCACTTCTGTTCTATCGAAGTAACCAGAGTTGTAGATGAATTAAGGTTAATTTAACAAGGGTTCGTTTGAATAGAAAAGCTGATAAAATTTTTATGGATTAAAATCAACTTGTGAATTTTATTGGCAGAACTTTATTGGGATTGCTTTACTGGTTATAGAATGATTAGTAAATTATTCGACGTTGTTATCATTTATGAGAAATAATTATTTTATCCAAGGAAAAGCATCCTCATTAGGCATAGTTCCTCAATGATGCATTATGAAGACAACGTATATAGTATTGTAGACAGACAGTGGTTCAATATTGGTTGTGTTAACAAATAATCATTTGCTGATTATAACAGTTGTAAGGACATAATAAATGTTATTGCTTTTGAAAGACAAGAACAGAGCATTGTTCTTTCTGTCTTTCCTTTCCTTGTTACTTTATTATTTTTATCAGTATTTTCAAAACATTTCAAGGGTTTGATTTTTCTGCGGAATTATAATGTCAGGAAGTGATAGTTTTGAAATTATTCAGTAGTCTTAAATTCTGTACTACTGCTAGTTTTCTAAAAATTAATGCGGAATAATTTAGCCATCTGAATGAAAGTATTGTTTGGGCTGCTATCCGAAATTCTATTGATTATTTCATTTGGTATTTGTAGAAAAAATAAATTTATTTTAGGTTGCCAATGAGTCAATGCCTCTATTAATAAGGAAGATAAAAAGTGTTCCCGCTTCAACGTTTCTCAGGTTATCTAGTCAGGAATGACATTAAAGGGAATGTCTTATTTAAGGTGGTTCCATTCTTGGATATCAAAATTGTCCGCACAACAATCATGCATCGATCCAGTTTAGACGAAGATGATTGAAAGCTGTTAATCGCACGTCGTCACTTTGTGTTAATCGGATCAGAAAGCATAACTTGATGTCAGGATGCCGACTGGATTGTTCCACCATTTCCATTCTGTATAGCAAACTTGTTATCTGTATGTAAGCAATTTTGTGTTAATCATAGTTCTTCTTAAACTTTTTCTCATCAATCATCAATTAGTCAAATGACAAGTTTCACGTCAATAAATTTGCTTGGAGCAATAGCAGAGTGAGAATGACATCATATATAAGGGTAGGAGAAGATGAAGGAAGGAAGTGTTGGCAGAATGGTTAGAATTGTCTGTTTATTGACAGGACAGCGTGATGGATTACGCGTGTCCAGCCAAGAAGAGATTCCGGCAGCCGAACAGACTCTTTGAAGTGTGCCGCAGATCGGCATCCTTTGGCTGCTTATCAATCATTGCACTATACAGTAACTGTCATCATCCTACTAATGTGTATGTGTATGTGTGTGTGTGATATTGTCCTGAGTTGTCTTTCACAATCTCGCTATAAGTCTTACTACGTAGTCCCATGCACAATCCGTCAAATTCGTCTTTCCTGTCTTCCCATTCTCCCGTCAATTTATTCTTGTCGATCTGATCGATTGTCTCTCCACCCATCCATTATCTATCATCACTATTGCTTGCTTGCGTGGAGC